CAAATTTCGTCACCTGACATTTACTACTATTGACATGCGCCAGTACTGTCACCTTCTCTTTCAAATTCGCCTTCTTTTTCTCTTTCATCTTCAATAGTACCATAGACGAGATTGCTACCTTACCATACTGAAAAACACCAAAGCTTGGGGAGGCTGGCCCCAACTCAATGCTAATAGGTAGACCTTTTGACATTCTCATGTAAAAGTCACATTTTTGTACTCAAGTAGTCTTATAATGATGGCCCTTCCGGCCGTCGAAACCTTTTATATCAGTCGCAGCTGATCATACAATATATTTGCGCAATACGCACTAACTGCTAAAAATCTTTTGTCTAACCAGGAACTGCCAACTGCTATATACCTCTCCCTATTAGCTACGACCACATACACATGCAACGTCGAGTAACCTCTTTTGTAACTAGTGATCTTTTTTCACCATTACAATAATTAACTCTTCCGTATAGGGTCGATTCAACTATGTGCTTGTGCAAAGTGACACGAAGCACCGGCGGCTCATGAGTATACATTCAAAAGACAAGGCGAAATTCGGGATAGAGTACATTGTTAAGATAAAGGGTTTCGTTTCGTCCATTTTACTGCCAAAGGTAAAGAATGTAGCAGAAGCATTTATGGGCGCGAAATTAGCAGATGCTATGACCACAGTATCGGCGTGCTTCAATTAAGTCAACGTCAGAAGCCGATGAATGCAAGCAAATTATCGAGTTTGAATGTGCTGCACATCATCAACGAGCCAACGGCAGCTACTACTGTCTGCGACTTGGACAAGAGGGTAGACGAGGAGAGCAATGTGCCCATCTTCCATTTGGATGTGATAACTTCGTTGATCTTCTTTCCCGACTGATAGTGCTGCACACTGGGGTGGTGAGGGCTTTGATTCTCAAATGATGAATCACTTTGCGGATTTAGTCAAGCAGTAGTTTAGGGCAGAGGATTTGTTAACCATCGTAAAGACCATCACTCATCTAGGAAAGGAGTGTGAGATGAGAAAAATGGCGTTAAGTTCGAATGAGCTCACGAGCGTTGATATGACTTGGTGTTTGAGGGTGTCGTCATATGCGTGTTGAACCTATGAACTCCTTGTAAAACATTTGCACTCAAGCGCCTTTAGCAGAACGCCAGATGTTCGAGCGGTATTGCTGACGACTGGTAAGTCGCGCATTCCGAGGGTACAGAAGTTGTTGCAGGCCCTCTTCATTGGCAATAAGATAGAGAAATTCCATAAATCTGGATGAGAGTCGTGTAGTGTGGTTTCGCTGGTGAAATGTCAATTGTATTCTCAATGTAGGGTAGATAGGAAAGTCATCGAGAAGGCGAAACATCGCGACCAAGTCAGTGTTGTTAATGGGAGGAGATAGGGAGACTAGTGCATGATGTTGAAATGTTCCAACAGGCGGATAAGAAGATAAGTTGTAGGATTGCATCAACGAATAGGCCAGAGAACTATATTTCTATCCTGTAATCGAAAATGGGGAACGATGAACCGAAACAAAGTATTTAAGCATTAAGAAAATAAACATGCAACTGATGTGTGAAAAGAAGATAAACTGGATGGACACTGAAGGACAGGCTTTGAAGATGGTCCACAAGATTTTACGCCAAATGTGTGATATGATGTGCAGCTAATCATACCGAAGAAAGTCTTGTTTTGTGTGTGCGGGAGAATGAAAGTACACTAAAATGATTTGCAAATTGAATGGTTCCCCTTTATTTGCTCTTGCATAACTCAGACATGCAAAACTGGGAAATGCGACCATCTAGATGGTAGAAAATGAAAAGTTCCTTATTCAGATGAGGTAAGATAGGAGAGGGACTTAAGCTTACCTGTCAAATGGAATATCAAGGATATGGAATATTTGTTGTACAAAATCTGATGAAGAAATGAACTTCACACTTGGGAATTAGCGTTAGACTACTTTGTTCAGCGATATCTGTTGTTATATTAATCCATTCAGCATTTGCTGATGACTACGAGAGGTGAGTTCGAAACCAGGAATATGAACCCATTTTCATGACGCCTAATGACAGTAGCTACATTAAAGTTGGTTAGTGTGCAACAAGTTGAACCTGCCAGCTGCCTAGCAAAACTTTCCAGTAAGGATTGAAACAAGGGGTCTGCACTAATGAACGAATTTCTAATGAATATGTTACTGCGTTCTTCAGCCTGCTTCGCAAAAATCTAGAGGCAATTCTGCCTCAACTCCGTTAACCTAAAGCGCATTTGAGATATCTGTTTTCGTAGTCAATTTTTCGGCGCTGTGGTAAGCACTTTTAAGCTTTGAAATACATTGAGTAAATGCTTATGTCCATCCTATTGATTCGAACTTGGAGAACCTGCTGTTGCTTATATTATCTTGCAACTGAAAGAAGACATTTGATTTTACTATTTCGAAGACACAAACGATGTGGAAGAAAATTTTAGGAGAAAGTAAAATGATTCATATAGAAGACCACTTTTTTAGCGCTTTGTGATGAATTCATTGTAATCTTAATAGTACAGTTATCACGAAGGCAAGCAGACATGCCGCCGGTAGGTGAGCAAGGTAATACAACAAAGCGAAAATGGAGACAATATTGGAAGTGGCGTGAGTACCGCTCCATAATAAAGGCAGTATTTATGACAAAAATGATGGTAGCTTAAAGAAAATGGGGAGGGAACAATTAAACTGGGTGGAGTGGAGCACTAAACGCCTCAGTATAAGGAGCATTTCCACCCTCTGTGGTGGAGGAGAGCGGCGGCGTGTATTGCCATGCCCAGAAGCAATGAACAATTGTTTTTCCTAGAGTTGTGCAAAATCGAATTAGTTAATTCATGAAAAAATCATGTAAATGAAATAACTAATTGATAGAGGCTAAAAAAACATTTAACATTTAAGAGAAATCCCCAGAAAAGCGTTTAAATTGACGAAATGCTGCTAGCCAGTGGTTGTCAAATACGGCGTCAAGTGGAAAGTGTGTGTGAAAGACATCGCCTAGCTCGAGGTGTCACGCGTCTCGGCAGGTTAGGCATTAACACCTTTAGGCTAAGCACATGGATGTCCTTTGAAGTTCCTGTGATTTGCAAGTCAGGCATCAACGAAGGGTGTAGATACCTGGTAAGACATGCTTGACCAAATGTATACCTGTCGACATAAAACTGCCTTCAAATTCTACTGAACTACCGAGGTTTCTTTTAAGAAGCATTGTCTTAGCTTTCCTCAAGCAAATCGTGTTTCATGCTGAATATGCCAGAGAGTAGTGGAAAGATAAGACATCACTAGAAATGAATGAACTAGCCTTCACACTGGTGTGGATGCATGAAGTGATCGCCATGGCGCCACTTCAATTGAGAATGCCGCTGGAAGATTTTATAACTTTGTTGCAGTGATTTCATTCCATACATGTTTATAACGCTAGTAACCAAAAACTGAGATGTGGTGAAGATAAACTGCAAAACATAGCATTAATTTAAGAATATTCTCATAAAATGAATTCCATTTAGCGTCAATTATACCTGCCACCTCCGACTTATTCCTCATTTTACTCAACAATCACCATCAAACATGGCACATATAAAGGCCACAAGTGAAATACAAATTCACTAAAGGCTGTATGATAAAGTGCCCATTATTATTTTTCTTACAAGAGATAATATATTTAATGGCTTTCCTTCATAAAGATAAAGAGTGCATTCTATGAAGTGGATGGAAATGGGTGGGATCGCAGCTTAACATTAGAGTTGAGGGTATTCAAAGTAAAGTTGACATCTGCAAAATGGAAAGGAAAGCAGAGACTTAGCTGAGGTGCAAAGCTCGGTTTTAGGTAACTAATTCCTTCCGGTAGTCACAGGTTTCTTAACATTTTGTGATAGCTATTTTCCATGAAAACCTATGTGTGCACGTGTGGATGTAGGTGCGTGGGTAGATAGGTACTTAGGTAGAAAAGAAGGGAGGAATGAAGGCAAGCGGGCAAGCTGTCCTGCGATGGTTTATCTGTCCATGCATCCCACCTTACACCAAGACTTTTGCCACCACCAACAAGTGAGGAAACGCGGTCTCTAGAATAAAAAATTGACTTCTACACTCTAACTTGTCTTTTATTTACCTTTGTTTGATACCATCGACTGTCTTGCTTATGATCATGGAGTTTTATCAATTTACGCAGATTCTCATTACCATCACCATCTTAACTGTGTGGTCGTCTCTTTATATTACTTCTGCTAAGGGCTCAGCAGAGCGCCTGCTTACATATTACTATATTCCGTACAGAATCACAAGCTCCATCCTACGAAGTTTAAGGCAAGTTCGTGACACTGCACTGACAGTAGCGATAGTGGAGATAGAGGCAGGCTGGCCTGATTGAAAAGGAAGGTAATCTTGACCTCATTGACCGCAGCATAAAAACGTGACATGAAGGCCACTCATTCCCAGCCTTGCTCATTTTCTTATCACAGTGGAACAGATCTGTGTAAAAATTTGTACGGTACACGTTGGGTCACTGCATAAATCTCAAAATATTTCATTTTAATATATCCAACCCTACAAACCCATTTTTCGCTAAATGGAAACTGCTTTGTGTTGTACCCTTTTAACAAAAGGGCTTCGTCTAGACCAACTCACTGGTCTTGTCTGTTTCTAAAGCAAGAAAGATTCTCTTAGCCATACCTTTTAATTGTATCTTTTCTTGTCGTATCAAATCGCGCCATATCGCATCGATAAGATGGCTTTTAACAGCAAATATTACCCCGCTTTCATTGCATGGAAAATTGTGTCTAGAATCCTATTATCGTCTAGGAGAG